CTATTCAATTTCAGTGCAACGCATGATCAAAATCTATTTTTATATGGAAGAAAATGCGCAACACCCTCCACAAAAAAAATGTAAAAAAATCAATTAACGACTTCTAACTTGCACTATGCTTTACTAAAATTTAATGGGTTACAAAACTGCATACATGCAAATTTTCTAAGATTTCCGAAAAAAAAATTTTGATGAAAATTTTAATGAACTTTATCTAAAGTGTGGAACTTTGATTTATGTATATGGTTTTCAACGTAGAATGAACTATATTTTTATAAATAGTTAATGGAAAAAATTGTTCATGAAAATAATTGTGAATATTTTTTAAAACAAGGTGTACCCTTACATTTGACGCTGACTGTATGTATTGGCGCGCGTGTATGCTCTAGCATTTTATTTACACTAAAATGTGGCATTTTGTCAACAACTGTCTGCAGGATTTCCTGGTGGCAATTATTTTCGCTTCGCAGCAACACCTTTTGCAATTCCCACAATTTTGGCACCCACTGGAGCAATCTCTTTCAGCATAGAATGTAGATAAATAATGGCTTCGGATTAGGTTCACATAAGTGCTAAAATTGTTGCGCTTTACAAATACATACACATGCCTGTATGTGTGTACCCAATAAACATTACGACGAACGTTCGAAAATGATCTTCGTTATCCAATATGCATATCAAACTGAGAACAAACTGGTTAAACATTAGATTTCCAATGTTCATAGTATACTGGAAATTCACTCGAAATGGGTTCGAAAAAAAATTATAATTATAGTAAAATCCAGCTCATTCTCAAGCGGAAATATAAGACAAACGCTTTCCTTTATTAAAATTTTAATTCGATAATGTTCTCGATTTCGAATTCATAACGAAGGGAAAATACAATGAATAACGAAGATTTCATTTTGCTGGAGAATGGCCTAGTTCTCAAATCGAATACTATTTTATGTCCAATTCGTTATCGAAGGTGAGAATCGAAAACAAGATTAGTTTTCCAGTCATTTTCAATTTGTTAACCAAACCCAGTGCTTATTGGGTAGCTTTACCCGTTGTTATTTAGTATTCATGTGCTGTAGAGTATATTTTATTAGATATTACGATATATGTACATATGTATGTATATGTAGGTACGTATGTACCAACCAACCAACAGTTAAACCCATTTTTTCATCAGCTAATAAATTAAAATGTGTGATAAATGCCTCTCTTTTTTTGTAATTTTTTTCTGGGTTACATAAGTTTTTGCTTTGCCCGAATATAGGCCAATGTCAGAGAAGTGAATTGAGTGCTTCACGTCATTATACTTAAATATTTAGTAGTATATAGACCGCAGAAAAATTGGCTGCTGAATTAAATTATCTCAATTGTGCTGTTGTGCTATACCTATACCTACGGTGACCATATTTGCAAGAGCCGAATACGGAATAAAAAATAATTTTGCAAATTTTTTCCACAACAGCTTACAGTTCTTAAAACCATCTCCAATGATCCTAGTTGTATTAGCCCTGAAACAGTATCCCTATAGAAACATCACATATTTGTAGGATACTTTTCTCGAGATTATTACCCCGTAAAATTTGTTAAAAAAACTCGTTAAATTTTAGTATAATAAAGTGTAATTTTAAGTCGCAAAGGCTTACAATTAATTTTTGGAATTTTTTTTTTATTCACGGTGTTACGCAAATATGTTCTACCATTTTTATTTGAAAGGGAAGCAAATGAACCGCACTTTCCACTTGCCATCAAATTTTTTTTCTAAAGATTCTAATTAAAATTTTGAAATTTTGGAGAAATATTGCAGAATTAATTTTTATAGTGTTTTGCACAAAGCTGGAAATTTGGTATTATATGGTTTTTGTTAGGAAAAGAGCTTTACTTTCATAAAATAAATAATAAACATTAAATAAACTAAGGACAAATAGCCAAAGCTCACTGTATGTATTCTTCGATTCGAATCACAAGCATTCCGATTAGAAAATAATAACTGTTTATGGAGAAAATTACGATCGTATACCAACATCACTTAAAACTCGTTCATAGGCATGCCATTTTAATGAGCTGTTAAGGCGTCGAAACACCGAATACGGAACAAATACAGGACATTAAAAGAAATACAAAACATTTGGCGTCTCGTATAAAATGAATAAACTACCAGGACAATGGGTCAAATAAGAGAACTGTCCCGTATAATAGAGGACGGATGGTGACTGTACCTCTACCCTTGTGCTCAATCATCGGCGTAGCGAGAATGAAATTTAGGGAGCCTCCCCCTATTAAGCTAACACTTCAGGGTACCATTATATTTATATATAGGGAAAACTTGAATGTTTTGGGTGCGGGGGGAGGGCGGTGGTCTGGCAGCATTTGAAAGACGATAGAAAGACTTTTGGAACGAAGGCATGATGGGTGATTAATGAAAAATTTAAAATTGAACAGCTTCCCTGCAAACCAAAGTTCCCGAAATCTTAACGAAATCTTTAGGAG